TGTCGCTCAACAAAATACTTTGTCCTGTGATGTGCCAGGTGTTTTATATATGATCTTGTTTATATTTTGTAACAACCTGCCTTATAACAACACAGGAAAGTACATATTTATAAGTGAGGAAATTGAAGCTAGGAGAAGTGAAGTAATTTGCCCAAGGTTGCACAACATGTAAGTGATCTGGCTGGGATAAAACCAAATCTAAATCCTGTGCTGTGATGTCCAAGACCCAAGAAAGATGTAATATTTAGGACAAACTGACATGTGGAAGGCAGAGAGATTTGATGCATGAATACACCCCCAAAGTGGCCAGTAATCGGGCCTCTCCCAACCGCTTTAAAACCCACTGACCCGAGATGACTCACATCTGCCTGCTGTCTGATTGCTTGCTCTTACCAGTCCCTCTGGCTACGACTCCCCTTGGCGTGCAGCATGGGCTGCAACCCCCTACCTGAGGCAGGCTCCAGGAGCTGCAGTAGCATTTGTGGTGACAAGCTTGCAAATACTGAGAAAGCACATGGGCGACCCTGAAGGTGCCCTCGGAGGACCATGCCAACCCACCCCAGCAACTCCCGAGTTCAAAGCAACATGTGAACTCTCCCCTCCCACTGGGAGGCATTGGGGTGGCTCTATGTGTGAAGGCTCTGGAGGTAAAATTCAAATTGTTCTAAGTACAAAGTAACCCTGGCAAATGGGAGGCATACAATGTTGACTCCTGCCTGCCTCTCTCACATCCCCTAGGGCACATTCCCCTACCTCCCAGTTTTAATAAACAACTACATCACACCCTCACCCCCAAGATTTTGCATAACACTCTGAAGAGTTACCCCAATTTTGAGATGAAGAAACTGAGAGTTAGAATAGATGAAGAACTTGTCCCAGGTCAGGCCTCCCCGGTGGTGCGGCGGGTTGAGCACCACCCTGTGAAGCTGTCCGCAGCCTCTGCAGCACTGGTTCAATTCCCAGCTGGCCAGGGAGATTCCCACCTGGCGTGGCAGACTTCTCCTGCCTCTCCCACTGCTCCCCTTTGCAGTGTCCTCTGTCTGCCTGTTCTGCTCCCCACTCTGTCTCTGGTGAATTCTCTCACCCTCCCGCACCACTGACCTGTACGCCAGTCCTTGTATGGATAAAAAAAATATTTTTAAAAAAAGAAAAAAAGAATTTGTCCCAGGTCAAATAACGTAGAAGGAAGAGTCACACTTGAACCCTGTCTGACTCTGAAATGTAAAGTTTCTGCTTCATTATATGCCCTCCGGACATGCTGGAGGAGAGAACTGCTGTTAATGCCTCAGGGCATCGCCAGCCGACCAGGAGTGTCCACGACACACAGAGCTGCAGAAGGGAGTTAGACGGTTGGAAAAAATTGCCCAAACATTGAGGATCGGGTTAGACCCTTGGAGCAAATTTTCCAAACATAAGAAGAATGAGATCCTCACTCAGATTATCAAGTTGTCTTTCTTTGGAATCTTTTGCAGTACAGTTCACAGATCCGGTAGCTGACTAATGCTATTCACAATTTTCAAGAGGAGGAAGAGAGGAGAGAGAGTGGTTGTATCCTCACTGGTTCTGTCATCTTGCAGCCCACAAGCCCCAGATATTCAGAATGGGGGCAGGGGGGGAGGGAGGTAGCTGCTCCAAAGGAAACCTGCTCTAAACCATGGTCTCAAACTTTAGAGGGCAGGAAAGTCACCAGGAAGAGGGCTTAGCAAAACACAGAATGCTGGTGCCAGCCCCTACATTTCTGACTCAGCAGGTCTGGGTGGGAGCGGAGACTGTGCATTTCTAACAAGTTCCCAGGTGGAAACCACTCTGGGAAGCAGAGCACCCCTGTAACCTTATGGGCCTCAGTGGCCCACTACAGACAGTAGACTTCCTCCCACTCCTGTGTGTGCCCCTTGGACTAGAGTACGGCCCCGTGCATTTTCCAGGTTCTTTAGAACGTTCTCTCAAAATCTTGCCCAGACTATGATTTTTCACAAAAGATCTAACAGAGCAGTTGAGTGATTGCGCCGAGGATGTGAGTCGTCTGTTTACCAAGTTGGCACCAGTGTTTGCTTAACCTCTGCCCAGCTGCAGTCTTCTGAGGACCTTTTTGTCCCGCCGTTGGCCAGGCTCATGTTTTTTCAAGTTTACTCCTGAGAAGCCGCTTTTATTTACCAGTTGGGGAATCTGGGTTTCTTTCCTGCATGTGCCCCTTCTGGACACCCCACCTCAGCTGTCACACACCCCACTGTGGTGGCAGACCAGGGGACAAGATAATCTGTCCCCTCCCACCCAACAGCAACCCAGCAGCACTAATGCTGTTTTATCATCAGTGTTGAAAATCACTAGCAAATGATGATAGTAAAAAATAATTTGTTTTATTAATCTTTTAAAATTCCCTATTGACAATGCACTTCCCTACCGCTACCTCTGTGGCTGCATCTGGAGTATGCAGCTGCCCCCCACCTCCCACCCTGGTATACCCAGGTCACTCGCGGCTGCTATTCTAGAAACCTTTAAGTTGAGTATCCTTCCTAAAAGGGTCACTGATACAAAATCTCAAAAGACCATTATCCAATGTCCTAGAGATTTAGTGTTGCTTCCCCTTACACCATCACCCCCAAAACCACCCACCCACCCTCCACTACCAACCTCAGTGTTCCAGACTCATTCTTACCCACATCTGCTAGTCTCCATCTCTCCCTGCCCCACCACACATCCAAATCTACCAAAACTCCAAAACTCCTGCCTGTGTGATGAAATGATCTACCTCATTCTCCCTGAGGTCTGCATGGGAGGCAGGACTTCTAGACCTCACTGCAGGACTCTTAGATGGAGAAGTATCCATTTGCAGAAGATCAAATTGCTCGTGGTGGCAGTGAGGCAATTTGAGGCTCCAGAAAGAAAAGGTAAGCTCTGGCCAGGCCCCTCAGATAACTCCATGTATGGAACTCTGCCTGTCCTATGGCGCCAGTCTTGTTTTAATATGCCAGCAGAATGATAGGAGCCCCAGCCTGAGGGAGTGCAGCGTCTCCTCTAGACTCCTAAGGGAGGGAGCCTGGGCAACTCATGGTCTCCTGGTCTCCACGCATTTCACTTCTCCCTCTTGGTGTGCACCTGCCATCTTGCCTCCTGGCGTACAGTCTCCTCAGCACACATGTTCATGCTTTGCCCTCCGGATGCTACTCCCTCCTCCAAATCATTCCCCAAGTCTATGGAGAATCACTGTTGTGCATGATGATGTTTTTACTGGGAAAATGGGACACAGCTTAAAACTGGTTATTACTCGTCAGCATTCTTTAAGCTGCTGTTCTGTCCTATCACTCTCGCCATCGCTGGCAGCATCTTTCCTCTCTCAGCTTCAGTTTTCCAGGCTCCACATCCCTGGTTCTCCCTCTGCTCCCAGCTGCCAAGGGGAAATGGAAAATTTCCCTTTCTCTATTATATGGACATGTTTCAGTCTAAACTACCTCCATTTGGGGTTTCTTTCACTCATCTGCTCCCCTTTCCCTGGCATGAGACCCACCGCTCTAGCTCACCAGCAAGCCACCGCCATTTCTATTTTGCAATAGCAAATTTCCTTCCCTGACACAGAAGCAATTTCCTCGTCTGCCAACAGCCCTCCCTTTAGTTCCTAAACCATAAGAAGCATATCTTTGTGCCAATTCACTTTTCTCAATTATACATATGTACATCCATATATATTCATAATACTATAAAGCCATTCTATAAATTATTGTAAAGCAAAAAACATGATCACATCACCCTCGTAGCCATTATTTTCAAATGCTCTGTTTTAGTCTCTGTCCACCGACACATTATTTTCAGACAACTATGTTTCCTCTTTGGTTTCCTCTTTTTGATTCTACATTCTACAAACAGTTTGCTGTGTCCTCATTGCTATTGTTTTAATAGTTGTGGAGCCCCCAAACAAGACAGCAAGATCCCCATGTACCAGCAGTGCCAAGTTATGGCTCTAAAATATTAAGCAGCTCCTCTTGTCCTCAAAGGCATTCAACCCAACATAAACATGCAGGAGAATAATTTGATACCCAATGCAGATGACCATCAGTATAGGATACAACCTGAGCACAAGCTGATGGCAGAGATGGCCTCCCGGCCTGCCCACTGCAGACAAAGCCCCACCTGCCTCATGCTGGCCTCACAAGCCCCACAGGACTCTTTCCAGAAAACAGAACCATCCTTTTACAATCTGATCTCCAATGTGCTCATCCTAGAAGAGGCCACCTTCTTTCAACATGATACAGTAGCACTTTATTCATTAGAACAAAAGATATTCAAATAGCCCATATTCTAGGCAGGGGACAATGGTATGTTTACATATACCATCTTCTTAAAACTCTAAGAATAAAATAAAACCATGTTGCAAAGGGATGGAGCAAAACTGGCCTGACAATAACCTAAGATTTTCCTCTCTCTCCTCCTGGGTCTGTCCATCCTGCAGTTAATATATCCAGAGTTAGGAGGTCAGTGGTTTAAGACCCCAGAATATCTATGCACACAGCAATTCAGCAGTAATTCCTAAAAACCAGCAAACAAACAAACAAAAAAGACCTCCCTGGTACCTCATTTATGACTGCAGACACAAATAATGAGAATGGAAAACATCTTTGGCTGGGAAAGTAAGTGGCTTCTGTTCCTTTAGTGTATGATTTTTTTTAATCTGTTAGCAAAGCTTTACTGTCTTGTCTGGATTCAGAAAGGTCAGTTTGAGGTTAAGCCCAAGTAAATGGTCCATCATGAAGTAAACACAGCTCAACGTAGGGCTATGTGCAATGTTATTATTGCACCTTCTTCCTGGAATTTCATAGGCTGTGGAAATGGAATGTAAAATATGGACAAAATAATGTAACAGTACAAAATAATGCCAGGGAAAAATCTGTTTCCTTGGATTCAAAGCAAGATTCAAAAAAGAAATAATATATATTTAAATAGTAGATCTGCTCTCCATTCCCTAATAACCCCTCATCCTTCAAACAAGAAAATCTGTAATTTCTTACCTCATTTCTTTCCAGGAGACTTTTCTTGTTTTGAGTTCTCTTCTTTTTCATTCTCTTTCCTATAAACACAAAGAGAAAGAACCATAAGATACCAAATCTGGATGGGAGAGCGGAAGAATCAGCAAACGCAGAGTTTTTCAAACATTTTTAAACCATGGGATCTGATTATCAATGAAAACTTATTTGTAAGTTGTATTAGCTATGGCTGCAATAATGCTGTGTGATAAACCCACCCTAAAATAAAATGGCTTTTAACAACGTTTATTCTCATGCTCAGAGTTCTGCAGGTTGACATAAGCAGATCTAGGCAGGACTCAGCTAGGGAAGCCCTGCTTTGGGGTATTGGTCCAGGGGTTGGCTACTTGTGGATGTATTTTCAAAGTAAAAGAACCCAAGAGCCAAGTCAAACCACACGAGTACAGTTAAAGCCTGTATGTACATCCTATCCTCTCACCTTTCATGGGTCAAAGTAAGCCACATGGCCAAGTTCAAACCTAGTAGGAAAGGGGTCTGTGGTCTGCTCCTAGGGAAAAGGAAAAATGAGTGACTATTTGCTGACCAATAAGTCCATCTAGCAGAGAAACCAAATGTAAAATACATATGAGTGGCTCTTTGCTAGTTGAACAAGGAATAAGAGGAGTATGCTCCTTTGTCCCTTCCCAAATTCCCAAGTAATAAATTCCCATGTAAGAAAATAGCATGTAATGGAAGGAAATCCACTCACTGTACAGATAAGAAAATCATTACAGCAACGGAGATTCAAATCATTACAGCAACGTTTTCACAATCTGAGAAGAAAGAGCCATGATACTCCAAGTGAGAGGACTCCTTCTACAAATTTTCCAAATCTGATGACAACTGGTTATTTTCTAGTCTCGTCATAGTTACGGAGATTACAAGAGTTACATCGTTTACAACTTGTTTAAATTGCTTGCAGCTGGAGAAAATGTTCACAAACCAGGTAGTAAATAAAGAGGGACAGGAGGATACAGTTTTGACTACCAAAACACAAACTTGTATTTCACAGTTAAAACTCAGACACCCGCCCATGACTTGATATAGATTAGAGCAGTGACCAAAAAAAAATAGGAGAGAACAAAATTGAGCTAAATCCTAAATTCATCTTGAATGAAGAAACCTTTTAAATAAAAGAATAAAAGATCATAAGACTTCAGAAGTCAGAGTACTAGGAAGAGGGTAAAAGCTTTCTCAAAGCTGTAACTCCTGAGCACTAGAGACGAGGGTCTCAGAGCACCCGTGGTCTGAGGATCTTGACCACCAAAGACATGTATGGGTTCAGCTAGAACATCGAGCAGCAACTGATGTCAGAAAAGGAGAGTAGGGTCTAGACCAACAAAAACAGGACACTGGGCTAAAGCTGGAGGGATTCCAGAATCCCAAAGAAGGCTAGGCGCTCTTAGCCTTACCCAATCCATGGTTGCAGGGTCAAAGATTTGTGTAAGGGATGGGTCCGCAAAATGGTCCAGGGTGTCTGGGAATGACAAAACACCCCAGCATCTGACAATGAGATGAAATGACCAAACTATTCTTTGATCTGATAGTGCTTCTGTAGTCCAGACTTTGGCATGCCCTTTGGATCAGTTCTAGTTCTCTTTGCCTCTCCAAGCTGGAAATGTTAGAGGAAAGTGGAGTGCAAAGACCTTCTGGGTACTGAAGCAATAATATCTCTGATCTACATAAGGCCCCCAATTTAGTGATCTTGTGCTGAGTCACAAAATAAGCAGGAACTACATTTCCCAGAGTTCCTTGCCTCTATGGTTCTGGATTGAGACTGGCAAGGAGAGAATATGCCTGAGATACGGAAGGTGGAAGGAGCATCAGCCATCATATTCAGGGGGTTGGATAAGGGCAGAGGCCCAGTGGTAGCTGGGTCATGTTGATGGTACAAGACAGTAGCTGGGACCACAGCAACTGCATCTTCTTCAGCTTCTCCAAGTCCTAGGACAGGTGCATGTACAGCTAAAGAAGTGAAGCCCAGGGCCTCCCTGGTGGTGCAGGGGGTTAAGACGCAGCACTATGAAGCTATCTGCAGCCACTGCAGCATGAGTTCGATCCCCAGCCAGGGAGATGACCCACATGGTGCAGCAGATCTCTCCTGTTTCATCCACTGCTCCCCTCAGCAGTGTATTTCAATACATCTGCCTATTCTGCTCCCCACTCTGGCTTTCACTCCCCCCACACCTCTGGCCTGCATCCCAGCTCTTGTATGCATAAATAAATAAATCTTTAAAAAAATAAAGAAGTAAAGGCCGGAGTAGCTAAAGAAATTGCTCAAGTTTACATAAGTGTCAAAGCTGGGATGGTATCCCAAGAACACAGCTCCACAATCCTCACTCCTAACACCATAACCACACAGGATCTCAATCCCCAGTGATCCTGGGGTAGATATTATTGTCCCCAATTTTACAGGTAGGAAGACCGAGGTTCAGTAACTTTCTTAAACTGACACTAGCAGAGCCTGGATTTGTAACCTTCTCAAATAGAACATACCAGAGGGGCTTAGGAACAATTTGGCCCAAGGTCAGAATATTTCTAAATGTCCAGGTCTTCCCCAACACCACCCACTCTTCACACTCAAGAGGCTACACAGCAATAATCTTCCAAATAACTGCATTTTTAAAAAATCTCCCCAAGACCCAAAGCAGAATTGGCATGTGTGCAGAGTCTGAAAATGACACATAAATAGTATGAAGGGTGAATCCAGCCGCCCTCTAGGTTGGGCAAAACATCTCAAATTATTTGTTTCAAACATTTTGCAATTGGCAAGACCCAAACCACATTTTTCCAAGCATTCCCTTCTCCACACTCCCCCCACTACCCCGCTTTACATTATAAGCCCATGTGTATTTCCCCAAAAATGTAATCCATATGTCTCTGATCCGTTTACACTTAACTCATCAAATTGTTGTTTGCTAAGAGTTGTTTGCTGCCCATGAAACCTTCGGAGACTGTCTGTGAGGCCTTCAAAAGACTCTTTCAGTCTCTTTTCTTAGAAACAGGAAGCTACATTTAGCCCAGGGCAAATGAAATTGAAAATGTTGGCAGTGGGAGGGAAGAGACTCTGGGACCAAAAAGGTTGTTCTTATTCTCCACATGGCAGAACAGCAAGGAAGGTCCCCCCGAGATGGTAGTTCAAGGTTCTAAAAGCTTGCTCTTGGTGGAACACCAAGACCAAGACTGGGTCCAGGTTTCCTTTTCGCCACATTCACAATCCCTCTGTTGCCATGTCTGCTAAGGTAGCTCTGGAATGTCATGGAGAGCCAGCAGAGTGTCCCTGACCTGGTCACCAGTAATCCCAATAGCATCGACTGTTTTGGTGGAGCTAAACCCCATATGCTGAGTTCCCATCTCAGCAAGCAGTTAAAATCTTGCAAGTTCTGCTTTTCTAAGTTTTTTTTTTTAACTCACAAACAGATAGACAACAAACCAAACACTTCTCAAAACAAACCATTACATATGATATGGTTTAACTCATCCATGTTTTTTGGCTTTAGCAAAAGGTTCTAGTTTTGTGTTTCTTTATTTTTTTTAATTGCTTTAGTTCAGCTAACTTATGTCCTTTGGGAAAACTGATCTATGTAAATGTGATTTAACTAAAGGGGTTTGAGCCATTCACATGTGTTTTACATTTTCTAATCATCCTGAGCTCTGTACATAGTGAGCAGACTGAAAAATGATGGTGGTCTCATTTCAACATCAATTTTTATCTATCCTATCTCCCAAGAATGCAGAATGATGGCTGGAGAGAATCTTACTTCCTATTTCCAGACAATCAGAAGCTGGTAGGATGTATGGAAATTCTGGAAGTGTGTGAAATTGATGAATGAGTAGAAGACTCAAAGGAAGTTAGCAATTCTTTAAGATGTCTGGAGTCTCAAAACTGGCCAAAACTTTAGTAAAGATTCATTTTAAATATTTTATTTCCCTGACTGAATTAAATTTGACAAACGTCTATGTGATACTTACTATATTAGCTTACTATTGTTGCATAACAAATGACCACAATGTTAGTGGCTTAAAAAAACATATATTAACGATCATAGTTTCCATGGGTCAGGAGTCTGGGCATGGTTAAGCTACAGTCTCTGCTCAGGGGTTCAGAAGGTTGTAATTAAGGTGTCAGCCATGCTACGTTCCCATCCAGAGTTTTTACTGGGAAAACATCCATTTCCAAGTTCACTCTCATTGGCAAAATTCACTTTCTTGTGTCTGTATGGCTGGTCCCCATTTTCTTGATAGCTATTAGTCATGAACTTCTCTCAAAACCTAAAGGTCTCCCTCAGGTCCTTGCCAAGTAGGCCCATGTTCTTAAAACATGAAGGAAGAGAGTAGTCCTCTGTAAAAGACTTTTATCTGATTAAGACAGGCCTACCCAGCATAATCTCCATTTTGGTTAACTCAAAATCAACTGATTTGAGTCCTTGATTACATCTTTAAAGCCCCTCACTTTTGCTATGTAATTTAACCTAATTAGGTTGGGATCATATTTGCAGGTCTTGTCTCCATTCAAGGAAAGAGATTATATAAGAGGCATACATCAGGGCAAGTGAGAATCTTGGTGGCCATCTTAGAATTCTGCATTACCTACCTTCAATGTGCAAGGGTATGGTGATACTCAAGTTATGAATCTCACACCCTAACAAAGTATCGACAAATCATTACTACTCCATGAAATATGTTCTTTAAGAGTTATGTTAGGGCCTTCCCAGTGGCGCAGCAGTTGAGCGCTGGGTTGCGAAGCAGCCCGCGGCCTCTGCTGCGCCAGTTCGATCCCCAGTTACACCCCAGCCACCAGAGGAGGGTCCCACATGGCGCGCAGACCTCTCCTGCCGCCCGCTGCTCCCCTCAGCAGTGTACTTCAGTCCTTCTGCCTGCTTTGCTTCCCGCTCTGGCTCTGGTGAATTCTCTCACCCTCCGGCGCTTCTGACTGTACCCAGTGCTTGTATAAATAAATAAATAAATAAATAAATAAATAAATAAATAAATCTTTAAAAAAAAAAAAGAGTTATGTTAATTGTTCAGAAACAGTACAGAAGTGGTCACATAGAAACTGGGATTTGTAAGATAAGTGGGAGTTCACCAAGCAGGCAAGTATAAGGAAGGGGAGATTAAGCAGGACTGACTTGAAACGGTATTTTGACTTACTTATCCTCTTTAGGAAGGAAGGAAGGGATGGAGGGAGGACAGAGGGACAGAGGGAGGGAGGAAGGAAGGAGCCTTAAAGCCTAGTTGACGGATCATGTGTATATGTGCATGATATGTTGCAAGTGACTCATCCACTTTAAAAGCAATGATGAGAGTAACACTGAGCAGAACATGTCAATAAACTAACATTCTAGCTACTATGTATTGAACGTGCTATCTCAAAATTCATATATTGAAACCCTAATCCCCAGGGTGACAGTATTCAGTACTGAGACTGTAGAGAGGTAATCAGGTCAGGGAGATAGAGCCCTCACAGAGGGATTAGTTCCTTTATAGGAAGCAGTA